CTGAGGGAACAACTATTTGTAACTTCACTTTTTCTTTAGTCTCATCCAGATTGAGGATTTGGATTGGCTCAATAGCCTTTTTAGTGAAGATAAGATTAGTGTAACTCTGAGTATTCCCTTGATTGGGTACATAAGGCATTCCAAGGTAACTATAATTTAGGAACGTGTTTTGTTGTGGCTGAAAGTTTAAAGTAGTTTGGGTTTGATGTGAATCGAAACCTAAAATATACAATGATTTAGTAACTTTATGTGAGATATCTTTTTCTACTACTTTTTCTTTTTTTTATCTTTTCTAGAGTTTCATAGATCTTACTAAGCTTTCCTTTAATTACCTTCTGAGCTTTTTCCAACCTTTTAAAATAATTTGTATTATCTTGCTCTATCTTTTTAGCTCTAGTCTAGGTGTTATACGATTGTTGAGCTATTTTGTACCTTAGTATCATAATTCAAAGTTAGTGATCATGATATGATAATGAATGTCTATGATGCAATGCACAAAAAAAGAAAAAAATATTTGCCCTTTTAAAGATTTTAACAAAAGTGAACTTTCATTTATTCTACAAAAGTCTGTTTTGCATTAAGCCTAATATTTTCGTTTCGTACAAACACCTAACTTACTTGTACTGATCCTTAGCTTTCTCAATGAAGTTCAGTAGTCACTGTCCATAATCTCTTGTTGGTATGACCAAAGCTTTCAATGTTTCAGCCCTTTCCGTTATTTCTCCTACCTTGATCATTGCCTTGCCTATTTGAGTTGTAAGATGCTTTACGTACCTTTGTCTTCCTAACTATTCTCTTTTACCAAACCATACCTGATAAGATAATTTTTTATGTTTTTCTGTGAGTGTCATGATATGATTTATCTGCTCATTCAACCTTTACTTTAGTGTTTGAATCTATTCTCTAAGCATTTCATTGTCTTACTGAGCTTTGACGTAATCATCTTCCATCTGGGCACATTCTTTTTTCAGTTTTTCATTTTCATAAGTCAAATTTGTATTATTTATTTCTTTGGCCTACACCTGTATATGCATTCTCTTGTGTTCTTATTGCAACTCCATCAGCTCTTTAAGAGCATCATCCACTTCTCTGATAATCTTTTGAGTCTTGTTGCATTCTTTAAAAATCTTGTGGACTTGGACTTTTAATTTTTCTGCTTTGTCTTTTCACTATTCTTTTTCTTCCTGAAGCCTTAGAATTTCTTGTTTTAATTTCTCTTTCTCCATTTCATGTTCTTTCCTTGCAAGTTCTAACTTTAGAGGTATATTTTCCAACTTTTGATTTCTTGACTGGCAATAGTCATTAGATATAGGTGCAACCTCTTGGCTTATTTTGGCTTTCCAAATCAGATATCCCTAAATAGCTTTATCAGTAAATGGTTCAGGGTTCACCCTCTTAAGCTTCTTCTAGGCCTTGATTATGCTATCAATCCTTTGAAAAATTTTAAGCTCCCCATACAAACAATTGAATTGGCTAAGCTTGTATATCATAGGAATAAACTATTCATCTCTATATTGTCTCCTTACCATCAATGGTGCATAACCTATTGACCCTCATAAACCTAAAAGTGGAACCCGTATCTTATCTCCACATTGGTGCAACATAAGTTTCTGATTCATCCATGGTGTTAACCATTTCACTTGACTAACTGTGAACTTTGATAGTAGACATTTTCATTCTTTTCAGGTTTTAGCTTCTAGCCATTCACTCTCACAGAATTCCTTAAATGGATTTTGATTGCCAAAATAGTTAAACATCCACTTAAATAAGCTTTTTAAAGTTGTTGAGCCTCTACTTAGAAGAGCCTCTTAAATTTTTTTTTTAAATTATTAAACCTCCATTTAAAAGAACTTTTAGATTTTCAAAAGTCGTTAACCTCTACTTATAGGAGCCTTTTTAAATTTTTCAAAAATCGTTAAGCCTCTACTTAGAGAAGCCTTTTAAATTCTCAAAAAAAAAAAAAAACATTGTGCTCAATGTTTCGTCTTTTCAAACAAAAAGGTTGTCTGTTTGTCTTTACCTTATTCTTGATTCTAAAAAATATGCAAAAAGGAGCGGGCAACTGTAAACACTCATTTTGTCCAATTTTAACTTAAATGTAATTTTGCTTATTATTATTATTATTATTATTATTATTATTATTATTATTATTATTATTATTATTAGTTATTCTTTCTTTCTTATATGTTTGCCCAAAAATCTTAGTGTATTAAATGCACCCACCTCCAGGTTTAATATACTGGCCATTACCAACCGCACTGATAGCGACTGGTAGCCACCTTGATAACTGACCTAATTTTAGGCAACCAAATTTCAACAAAAATCTCAAATTTTTTTGGATTTTCATCTTTATTTGGCTCTATAAATAAAGTCACATGATGAACACACGAGGAACCTAGAAAACCCAAAGAAATGAGAAAACCTTGAAAAAATGAAACCCAAAAAAAAAAAAAACATTGCCAAAAAAAAACTTTACAAGATCAAAAAAAATATTTCTGTCAAAACCCAGGAATGAATAGAAACCAAATAACACAAACACAAAAATACAGCCCTTGGTAGCGAGGATCTCAACATTAAAAATATAAAAAAATTTCATTTTGGTAAGTACTCCAAAGGTCAATCTAAGAGATTTGAGATTATTTTTCAAGAAAAAGAGGCCAAATCAAGGTAAATGAGGTCAAGAGGAATTTTTTAGATTTTTTTAGATTTTTTTGTCATAGACAACAATGGCCGGTGTCCAACGACAGCGGTAGCTAGCACAACGCTAACCTATCGGTTTCTAGGTAGCTTTGAATTTTTTAGTGAGATATTTTAGTTCTTATAGAGAAAAGCTCTTTCTTAAAAAAAGAAGAAGCGGAAATAAAATGAAATATTAAAAAAAAAGTTTGGATTTTTATAGCAAAAAAAAAAAAGGAAAACAATGTCGTTTCGCCAAGAGGATCCTCGCATAGGCCCGGGCTTGACTCGAGGTCCGTGCACTCAACCCGCCATCCGACTTCCTACTAACTTTGATCGATCCATTCTAAATCGGACTAAAACCGCCCCAAACCACTCCATAGCAAGTTGGACTGTCCGTTGATGACCACTGTTAACTCTGGTATTGACTCACCATTAATTGACAAAAAATTGGCATTTTCATTTTTTTCTTATTTTTTATCATTCATTATATTTTTATTTTTTATATTTTTTTAGTATTTCTAATTTACCATAAAATATGTTAAAATAAATATAATAATAAAAAGAAATAATAAATATAAAATTTATAATAATGCATGAATAAAAATAAATAATGAAAAATAAATAAAGTATGATAAAATAAAAATAAAATCACAAGTGGTGATTCTATTAAAAATATTTATACAAAAAAATTTTCTAAAAGTTTTTAAAAGCGTTGGAAATATTTTAAAATTTTTCAAATATAAAAATAATAACAATAAAATTCATTTCAAATAAATAGTAAGAATTAAATAAATACATAAAGAAAAATAATAACAACAAAAATAAAATCACAAATGGTGGCTCTTAAAAAAGTATTTTTTTCAAATTTTTGCCAAAATTGTTTGTAAGATTATTTCTTTTTTTCAATAAAAATTAATAAAATATAAAATACTCAAATTGTCAAGGTAAATAAAATTTTACAAGAATAAAATCATGAGTGGTGACTTTATCAAAATATTTTGAGAATTTAATCAATAAATTTTTAGTTATTCAATAATAAAATAAATATTAAATAAATATTACAAAGTAAATTAAAATTTTCGTCAATGATGAAATTAAGAGAAAATCACAAGTGGTGATTTTTTCTCTAAATTTTTAAAATCATATCATAAGTGTTTGTATAAGAAAATTATAATCTACTTTACTTTTAAAATATTAAAATAAGTTCGACGACGAAATATCTTTAATGAAATAAGTGATTTTTTTAATACACTTGAGATGAAAATTTTTCTTTAAGTTATACTAAAAATGTTAAAAATAATTTAAAATTTTTTCAATATTCAAATAATAAAAATTTAAATAAAAAATAAAAATGATAAAATAATAAGTAAAAGACTATTTGAACGAGATTAATTTAAGATCATATAAAATTAATTATTACTATTTTTAGACAATGTTAGTGAGGATATTATAATTTTTCTCACGCGTAATCATGTTTTCGAATTCAATCTCGAATTCGTAAACCAAAAATAAGATTAATGATCAATTATACCTCAACAAAAAAAAATTATAATGATTACTGTTATTTTACGTGATTGAGTTTCCGAACGAAAACTTGATATGACAGTGATTAGAACTTTTGCCTATACATGTACTAAGTCATACCATTATTAATTAATAATAATGGGAAATTATAATAAATAAAAGAAAAACTTAAAATGACAATTTAAAATTATAATAAAGAAAAACATTCGTTTTCCTTATTTACTATTTGTCATCACGAGCATGTAATGTAAATTTTTTTTAATTATTTCACAAATAAATAAAATAATAAATTTTAATTAAAATTTAATAAGCAAAATATATTTTTTGTACAAAATTGAATTTCGATTATTGACAATTTTATAACAAATTGGCAGAGTAGCTGAGTAGGTGATCGGTTAAGTTGGGCTAAGCCTCAATTTGGTTTATTGAAGTTCAATTATGAGCTGCAAAAGCATAAGGGGTTTTGTCAACTGTCTCAAACATCCAATCCATCAAGGCCCAAAGCCGTATTTATAGTAAACCGGTACTAGTAGGAAGGTAAGGTTTACTTCTTCCAAGTTTGTGAAAAGGCCAAATTCAAGAGTCCAAGAGCCCATAAAATAGCCCATTTGAAATTAAACCATTAAAAAAAGATATGGCGTCGCCCGGACTCGAACCGAAGACCTTCAGTGTGTTAGACTGACGTGAAAACCAACTACACCACGACACCTGTCAGCAAATCTGTACTTTTTTTTTAAAGTATGAATTTTATAATACAATTCAAATTGATTTCGCAATTTCAACTTTCTCTTCCACACTAACCATTGCCGCCTTCGAGAAATGCCCGCTGCAATTGAATGAAAGAATTCGCAGTAATTGATTCACGAAGCCGCTCTTTCAAAGTCACTATCTCTATCATAAGACATAAGAGAAGCAAGCTTAAGGCTAGGATGAATTAGCTAACGAATTGACTAGGAGAATGATTCTTGAATAAGGTGAAACTTTTCCTATTGCCCACTCCGCGCTCTCTTTAACCACTACTCACTGATTAGCTGGGAATATTCTTGCTTCTTGCCAGTTAGCTCTCCAGGGGGCCTGAAGTTGAACCCCAAGTTCCAACAGCTTAAACACCATAGACTGGCTGTGCAACTGTAGATGCATCAGTTGACTCAAACCTGTATCTGACTTAAAGGACTCTCCAGCAAAGCAGCCACTGCCGCAGGTCTTTTCTGTTCTGCTCTGTTATTTATAGTCACCCAGAGCTAGAAGGTTAGGATAGAGCGAGGGAGGGGTAGCTGCGCGATGCTCATTTGGAGGTGTATTCTCTTTTGTCAATTATGTGAAATATTATACTGATTATTGATTAAAATTCTAAAACCATGGGCATAATGCTGACTGACATGATTTGTTTACATATAGGTTTCTCCTCTTTTACTTAAATTCTTTATTCAGTTTTGTTTATTTCAACGAATAACATTCTATATGATCAAATGTAACGGTGGCCATAGAAGAGCTGGTATGTCTGGGGGATAATCTAGTGATCCTGGCCGCGTAGCGGACTGGCGGAAAAGGTACCAGTTGTGGTACTTTATGCTCATTTAGAAAAATACCTTACAAGCTATGCAAACTGCACGAAGGGTTCACCAAGTTCTTCACACCTCACCTTAGCACAACATCATAACATTAGTCAATTTTATTACCTCCTTTGATCCAGAGCACTAGCCAATAATTCCCATTCTAGAATGTCCAATTTTCCTCAAAAATATCTTACCATTACATGTTTTTAACATTGACCTTTCCGGGGCAGCAGATACAGTTTGCAAGCTATGAACGTTTTGCCTAGTTGCTACCTTCATAACAACAAAATAGAGAATTCTAACGCGAACGATCGGTTAAAGAGACCTTTCCCAAGCAGTACTGATTTTTTGCCTTGTTCACACTGAATGTGTTGGGAGTGCTTCGAAGACCCGAGATCAAAAACCACCAAATTGTAAAGCTAGACGAGGTCCGTCATGTCAGCTAAAACCCCGATTGACCATCAATCCCCACTATCAGGAGTATGATTGGTTTAGCCGCTTCTAACAGAAACACAATGGCACAACGCTCCGACTTGGTTGGTTGTTCAATCCTTCTAATGCCAATAATTGGCTGCTTTTTGGATTTATTAGCCACATTAATTCACGATTAAACAGATTTAGCGGATTCTGACAGAACCAAAATGGCAAAACAGCGATTACACAGTAATTTGGAAGGAAACCTAGGAAATCAAAACTGAAAATCGAATATACAAAAGCTAAAAACTAACAACCCAATTAGATGCCCTCATGAAATTCTGAGACAAATTTCACTGAAGACTGAAATCAAAATACCTTCGAACAGTAGAAACTAAAAAATAAAACCTACAAAACATTAAACTACAAATAGCCAAACAAAAACCTACAACAAACTATTGCAAATGATTCACAAACCCAACCTATCAAACCCTTATAAAATAAACAATTAACCACCGAAACCATAAAGTGTCCTGCCCTGCCTCTTGAGAGCGTAGACAACATCCATGGCCGTAACAGTCTTACGCCTAGCGTGCTCCGTATAGGTAACTGCGTCACGTATCACATTTTCCAGAAAGATCTTGAGGACGCCGCGTGTCTCCTCGTAGATCAAGCCACTGATTCTCTTAACGCCACCTCTACGAGCCAACCTTCGAATCGCCGGCTTGGTAATGCCCTGAATGTTATCTCGAAGCACCTTCCTATGCCTCTTGGCTCCTCCCTTCCCCAATCCCTTGCCTCCCTTTCCACGGCCCGACATTTTCAGATCAAAGAGTTCTAAGATACAATGAAAAATCCAGACCTCTATATTTTTTCGCGTTTGGCTGCTTGAAAAGGTGGGGGATATGGAGGGAGTTTAAATAAGGAGGCTCGTGAGGTTGTGTTTTTCGTAGCTAGCATGGGAGAGGAGAATGTATGCCGTTGGATTGGAAAGTTATCGACGGTAATGATTAGGGATCTGTGACTTTTTATTTAATTGGTTAGAGATTGAAATTCGAAAGGATGCAAGGGGGCACCGTTAGATTAAGATGTTATCCAACGGTTAATGTATCGATCCGTGTCCTGTATTTTTGTGGTTTTGAACCGTCGATTAAGTTCTCATCTACGGCTCCCGATTCCCCAAGCTATCCTGTTATTGAAGTGTGGTATGCTCGGATTTCTTAGGTGCAATATTTCCTCAAAATCTGAATTCCCGCCAAGATTTTTTTTTCCTTCCTTTGTATTTGTAACGAACATAATTTAATTATTATTTTTTTCAATAAATAAAGAGTATGGAAAGAGACGATAGAATTTTGTTTAAATTTTTAAATCATTACATCAAGAAACTAAAGATTTAATTATTCATTTATACTACATATAATCTAGATTTTTTTATTAAATTTAATGTAACTAGTTACACAGCACCAATTCAATTATTGAATTTACATGAAAATTAAATTACTAACATCACCAAAAAATTATGAAAGTTATTAAAAACGTTACAAACATAATAAAACACACTATAAGGTTATCAAAAATATTATGAATGTTATATAAAATACTAAATATTGTATTAAAAAAAAAAAAGAAAACACTACTAAAGCGATAAAAACATTATAAAAGATTATAAAAATATAAAAAAAAAACTACAAATATTGTAAAAAAATTACAAATGTTATAAAAATGCAACAAGGTAATAAAATAAGGTAAGGCTACATTTGTGTCTCACCGGTGCTCCGATTCAATAAAATTAATTACCTTTTTATGCAATTGCATTGTGATAATATAGTTTGATAATTAGCGATGTTAATTATATAAATACTTAATAAAAATTTTAATTTTTTATTCGAATGAAAATGAGATAAATATTTCATTGTGTAAATGAAAATAAAATAAATATAATTTTAAATTATGAGCATTGGTAATATAGATCATTCTCATACCCATACCTTACATATATATTTTTATATATTTAAAAAATAAAATTTTTATTAAATTATATAAATTACTATTTTACATTAATTAGAATTAATATATTTTTATTTAAATATATATTAATATATATTTGTAAAAAAATTACATAAATATACAACATAAAAATTAAAAAAATAAAATTTAGTTTTTATTTTTTAAAAAAACTCATTGATTTGAAAATTATTCATATCAATTAAATACTTACAAGGATGTAAATAAAAATAGATTTAAAATATATATTAGATATAAATATAAAAATAAATATAATATAAAAATTCAAAAATATGAATGAAAAATACTCTATCTGTCCTATATCATTTATGGATAACAGGATACAATGCGTTTGCATAAAAAAATTCTCACTGTCACTAAAAATTTCATTATAGGCAAAGGGGTTCAATGGCATTTTTAATCCCCACCTCAGTTCTTTTTTCTAATTATGATCCTACTTCGCCTTTTTTTTTTTTAATGGTTGCCGTTGGTTTTTTTTATTGTTTTCATTTTAAAAACATTATTTTGAAAAATAATTATAATTTTCATATAAAATTGATTGTTATCTTTTAGATTATTATCAATTTATGTAAATATATTATTATTATTTTTAAAAAGATTTGATATATTACTACTATATTTATTAATTTTTTATTATTTATTAATAAAATGATTATTTAATAAGAAAATAATTTTAAAAATTTTTAATTATTTATTAATTTCATAAATATCAAATAGTTTAATATGTGTTTGTAATGATCATTTTCTTTTTTCATTCAATTTTATTTTACTACCGTTATATTTACATCTAAACACATATCTTATCATTAATTTTAGTATTATCACTACAATAATTAATTTCAACTTTACGATAAGTAATCTCACTTTCATTATTATTTTTAATCTCACTAAAATCATTTTCATATTCAGACAAAAATGGCAATGAATATCCTATAAATGAACACTAAAATTACCCAACCTAATTATATAAAATTAAAGTATCTAATAATCGGGTTTGAATAATAAAATTATTACCCATCACAAGTTTAGGTAGTGATCTTAGGGTATCCACTATCCTAATTTGATTATAAATAATATATTTTTTAATATTATATTTTTATTTATAAATTATTTATTATTAATGTAATATTTAACTAAATTAATTCATTAAATATTTTAATTATGATTTTTAACTTTAATTTATTTTATGAGTTAATTTTAATTTTTAATTTAATTTTTTAATAATACATATTAAATTTGATTTTAAATTTAAATTTAAAAAATACTATTTGACTGAATTAATAGGTATTTAGCAAGTTCAGGTAATAATAAGTATTCCTTATATCATATTTGTAGGGTTTGAATAGTGAAAATCAAGAGCAATTAAATGATTATCTGATTCATAAATCTTGATAAATAACTAGATTCAAATATGGGTACCTAAAAAATAACAGATATCATATCTGTTGACATCCTCATTCCAAATGGACCCTTAAATAACCAAAAAAAAAAAAAAAACCCTTAACTTTGTTCCTTTATTTAGATAAACATCTAGATTTTTTTTACTCAAATAAGTTCATAACTTTTAATTTATACCAAAATAAACTCTTAACTTTTAATTTGTATATAAATAAATATTTAATGCTTAATTTGTATTTAAACCAGCTCTTAACATTTAATTTTTATCTAAATAAATCCTTTACATAAATTAATTTTTTATCTGAAATAATGGTTTATCTGGATACAAATCAAACAATAAAGGTTTATTTTGATACAATAAAAATATAAGAATTTTTTTAATAAAAGTAAAATAGTTTAAAAGCTTTTTTAATATTTTAGCCTAAGAAATATTTAAAATATTATAAAGACTATAAAAACCAACAAAGATTATAAAAACATTACAAAAGTTATAAAAAATATTACAAAAATTATAAAAATACTACAAATCTATTACATTAGTTTTGGTAATTTACAAATGAACAATACTCATCCATTAGAATGCCAAGCAGCAACCCATGATTGGTCTTTTTTTTGCTTTTTTATACGATTTTCTCTTTCTCTTTTTTTATAAAATTAATAAAATTTTTAAAATTATAAAAAATATATATTTGTAAATATTGTATTTTTTTCTTGTGAGACTCACTTATATCAAATTTTCTTTTTTGCTTTTCATTTTTTTTGTCTTTTTCATTTTTCTTAAATAAAAATGTAATTAAGATTCTTTTTTAGAACACACTCGAATGGTATGCGATGTATAGTCTTGTTTCCTTTGGCTATCGCATGTCATTTTACGAGTTTTAATTTCTTTTCTTTTTTTTGTTTATTTATTTTTTTATAAATTATTTAATAAATACTTTTTAAAATTAAAAAAATTATATATTTTTTTAAAAGATTTGTTTATATTTGAGACCCATTTAAATCCAATCTTTGTTTTTACCTTTTTCTTAACTTTGTTTGAATTTAAAATTTTAAAAAATATTTAGTAAAAAATATTTTAGATTTAATTTTTTCATAAAATCTACTTGATACTAAATATATGTCATATGTTTTATTTTTTTTTCCTTTTTTCCTTACTATAATTGGCTAAATTTATTATAATACCTCTCTTATCATAACTATGAAAATACTCATCATATTATATTTGGCTAAAAATCCTATAATGCATTCTGGCCATAATTATAAAAGAAAAAAAAAAAAAACCCTTTTGATTACTTTATATGATACCTCTCCTATCATATTTATGAAAATATTCTTCATATTATAATTTGCTAAAATTACAATAATGCCATCTAATCATAATTATGAAATGCCCTCTTACTATAATTATAAAAATACCTCTCATATTATAATTAGTTAAAATTATTATAATACCTTCTAACTATATTACAAAAACTATATTTTTGATTGTTCATATAATGCCTCTCCTACTATAATTATGAAAATAACTCTCATATTATAATTGATCATAATTACTATAGTATTATCTAAGCATAATTGCAAAAATACCCTTTTAATTGCTTTATAATTACACATTAAATTTTAATATCATACAATAATATAAAATTAATTTCCTTAGAAATAATCCTAATACTATTTTAATTACTTGACAATTGAATTATGAATCTAAATTGACTGCAATATCTCTTTTTAGAATTAACAAAAATTACTATAATATTTCTCTTAACATATTTACTAAAATAATTTTTATCATAATTGGCCAAATTTAATATAATACTTCTACAACCATAATTATGTAAATACCCTGTTACCATTATTTGTCAAAATTATTATAAAGACCTTTATACCATAATTATGAAAATATCCCTTATATTATAATTTACCAAAATTATTATAATACTCTCTTACCGTAATTATAAAATATTTTTTTATTGCTTCATAATTATGTATTAAAATTTAACGTACATACAATTATAAGAAAGTGAACTCCTTAAAAATAATGATAATGCTTTTCTAATTGTTTAACATTTGAATAACACACATCTAAATTAATTGTAATACCTTTTATTCTATAATTAACTAATATTACTATAATACCTATCTTAACATACTTACTTAGGGATTATGTTTAGAGGGTATTATAGTAATTTTGCATTCAAATAAAATTATTCATCTAAGGGGGCATTTGATTTGTGAAATCATAGATTCTAGAAAAAAGTATGATCTCCAAGAAAATGCAACACCTGACGTTTTCTTCCATTTTTCAGAGCATCTCATTTTTAGATTCACTCGTTTGGCTGAAGAAAATCTACATATATTAAATCTTAAATAATTACTATAATGTTCTTGGAATAATAAAATATTGAAGGCATTATTGAAGGCATTTTTTTGACCAAAAACGCCTTTAATAACTCAATTAAATTTTTTTTTTGATTATTCAATATTTTTTTTGGATTATTCAAGATTTTTTTTACAAAAAACATCTTGAATAATCACGTCATAAAATTTTATGAGGGAAATATTGAATGTGTTTTTGGTTAGAGATGCCTTTAATAACCCAATTAAAATTTTTTTCAGGATTATTCAA